TTCCCCCTCTTTTGGCTGTTATTGCTACCAAGCAAGAAAGTTTAGAGGTAAAATGATTGGGTTATGATAGTTTTGACTTCATCAATGCATTACTCCTCTGATAGGAATTAACTGGGTGGTAACTATAGGCAGGTGAAGTTTGGCTTGAGGAGATGAATCACTGGGGCCTGACTTTGGGGTGTAATTTTGTCCTTGGTGAGAAAATTCTCTCTGCTTCCTGATACCATGTCCTGAACCGCTTTCCTCTACCACACTCTTTCACCTTGATGTCCTGCCTTTCCCCACACTCAGAGCAATAGAGTCAGCCATCTATGGACTGAGACTTCTGAGACTGAGCGCCAAGTAAACTTTTCCTTTTCTAAAATTGTCCTTGTCAGGTCTTTTGGTCACAGGACTGAAAAAGCTGACAAAAAACAATAACTATAATACACTAATAAAAACATAAACAGAGAAAGGGAAACATTCAAATGTGATAAAAGAAAAATGTTTGTGGTTTCAAGAAAACTCATCAAACTCATTTCCTGTTATACAAAAAGCCCAATTTAAGCCAAAGTGCCCAGAAGGTACCACTGTGTTTTTGTTTTTTTAATATTCCCAGCATCTCTTTTTAAAAATATTTTTATTTTTTAGCTTTAGGTGGATACAATATTTTTATTTTATTTTTATGCCTCAAGCAGGCCAGGCTACTACTACATTACTACTTGAGCCATATCCCCAGCCCCTGTACCACTGTCTATACGGGCTGAAACAGTGAAATCTTGTAATAACTATTTTAAACAATCACAGGAGGTTTTTTTTTTTTTTTTTTTTTTTTTTTTTTTTTTTTAAAAGGCTTCATGTAAAATACAAATAGAAGCCTGTTTCTTAGCCTGATAAAAAATACCTATCTCAAATTAACAGTTAGTCACATGAGGTATTTCTGCTAAAATCAGGAACAAGACAGGATATTGGTTATCAACATTATTATTTAACATCAATCTGGAAGTGTTATTTTATTTTTGGTCAGAGAATAAAATACTATTAAAAATATAAATTATATATAATAATGCCATAGTATTAAAAATATAAATTATATACAATAAGGCATATTATTGTCTTCCAGAAATTTTTGAATAAATAAGTTGAAAGTAAAAACTATTAAGAGAGTTTAATGAGGGAGTCAGTTAAAAATTTGATGAAAAAGATAAATACCTTTCCTGTGTAGCAACAACAACCATTTAAAAAATGGCAAGGAAGAAAAATAATCTATCCAGTAGCCAAATTTGCATAACATAACTGGAAAAAGAAATGACTAAATGTAATGCAATTTTCATGAAAATTCCAGCTTTATTTTTTGAACTTGAAACATCTTCCAAAATAATGTGGAGGATTAAATATTCAAGTACAGTTAAAAAAAAAAACTCTGAGAAAGTAAAAGTAATACAGAGTCTTGCTGGAAGCATTAAAATATAAAGCTATTGGAACAATTTCAATTCCAGAATTATTGGACTGATCAATGAAATTAAAAAGACCAGAAATAGATCCAACTATATGTAAGAATTCTGTATGTGAAATGTATATTGGGAAATTGATGAAGCAAGTAGGAATTATAAATTTTCTTGTGGCAGATAACTTTTTGAAAAGCTATATTTTTATCTCATATTTTATAACTGATACATTTCATTTAGATATTAACAAAATAACTACCATGATAAGACTTCTGCTAAAAATATAATATAAATAATTAAAGAAATGCTAAAATATGGATAAATATTAGTATTATTTAGGGTAATAAAGCCTTTATGAAGCCATGAAGAAAATTTTGATAGTGACTATTTAAAAATATAGCCTATTGGGCTGGGGCTTGTAGCTCAGTGGCAAAGCGCTTGCCTAGCATGTGTAAGGCACCGGGTTTGATCTTCAGCACCACATAAAAGTCAACAAAATAAAGGCATTCTGTTCATCTACAACTACAAAAATTAAAAACATCATCTTTATTAAAAATATAGCCTATTGTAAAAGCAAGCAATTTATTATGCCACGTCGAGTCAATAGTAAACTGGGCAAAAATTTTGCAACATATAAGAGACAATGGGATGGTTTCCTTTTAATAAAAAGAGTTCATGTAAGTTAAAAAGGAAAAGCCAAAATATGTTCTTTGAAAAACATTTTCCTCACTTAAAAAAGAAAAAGTGGGCAAGAGCTGACATGCAATGGCATTTTAGAAGGCTACTGAGCATGTGAAAAACATACAATTTTTCCATAATAAAAGAAACACAAATTCACACAAAACTATACCATTTCTATGTTTAGGGAAATTGACAAACATTAAAAAAATAATAAATCCACTGTCATTGAGTGGATAGGGAACTAAATACTTTCCTACATCATTGGTGAAAGATTCGTTTTTGGTAGGTAATAAGGATCCATGTATAAAAATTGTGCCCAGAAATTCTGCTTCTAAGACTTTATCCAGGAGAGTTATAGGAAAAGTAAACTAATATGCTTGCACAAAATTTTAGTATGGTTATAATGGTTAAAAATTTAATACAGCCTATATGATATGAATAATTGAATGAAAGTTGAAAACTCCATGAAATGGAATTCTAGATAGACAATTAAAATACACACCTAGATCTATATTTATTTGTATGGAAGATGTCTACAATATGTTCATACCAAAATAGTAGAGTTCAAAGAAATAAAACAAGGTGCATCTGTACATGGAAAAACTGAGTGGATACTAAAATTTTAAGAATGGTTATTTTGGGGTAGATTGTGAGTAGCAGATTTCTAATTATTTATTCATTTCTGGATTATCCAAATCTTTTGCCATGGTCATTTTAACCAGAAAAAGATGAACAAAACATCTGTGAAGGAGAAAGTGAGTAGGAGAAAAAGAAGAAAGGACCATTTTCTGGGAGGTTTACTGTTGCTTCAGGTGCATTTTCCTCTTCTAAAGCTACATTAAAAAAAAAAAAACTTCCTTCTTTTTCAATGTTCTTCTTTTATATTAAACTGGAGGTGTCATTATTCAAACATCAAATTTTATAATAGGAAAAACATAATAAGCCATGATGTTGGGTTTTTAACCTTAGGAGGAAACACAGTTGGATGGAATTATCAGCCACACAAATCACATGTATTGAAGTCAGGCCAGAGTACATGTCACCTTGAACTGTGTGCTATTCTACTTTAACAAATCCTTTCCTAATGGGAAGGTTAAGAAGGACAAGGCAGTCTTTTATTTATACTTCCAGATAACATAGGTTGTATTTATTTTTGCCCATGGCATCATTGTTTGTATTCAGAAGAGCTTTAGTGTTAGTCCTTCAGCCCAAACTGTAGCCCTTCCTCTTTCATTCATTCAACAAATATTTGTTGAAGTTTATGCTGTGCCAGGCACATTTCTGGATATTTGGAATCTATCAGTATACAGCTTTCCCAAAACTTGCTTTTATAAAGCAGATGATACTTTTATAAAGCTGCTACCTTATCCTTCAAGACCTAAGAACTAGAAAAGATGTTACAAGTTTTATGTGTGTTTCACATGTGAACAAAGGAATGTTTCTTTCTCTTTTTTACTTGGACTGCCAGGAAGCTCAATTTATTTTGAGCCCAAATAGAGTAATTATGTGAGGTCTGTGTCCATTCTATTCTAATACTAATTTTTCTTCTTTTCTAAATCCTTATCTTACTATTTCATCTATATTTTATTGGCTTTTTAAAACACATGAATTGCTTTGTTTCACCTGTATTCTAATGCATTTATAAACTGCTTTGAATCTTAAATCTTTTATGAAGCTCGAGAAAAGAGATAAACACCATCATGGGGGATAATCTAGAATATGGTGAATTATTCAAAACTACTTGATAGACTCAGCCTGATTCCTCTTAAAATTGGGAGCCATCTCACCACAAAGACATGAAAAGCTAATTTCAGCTTTACTATAAATTACTGCAAATTCTGAACTTGCTTGGAATGCCTGCCCTTGCCTTGAACTCACCCATGCCTGGCTGTCTCTGAACAGATAGCAGCCCTCTCTGAAACTTTAGTGAAAATCTTGGCCTTCCCTGGCCAGATAAGACCCTCTCTGAGGCTCTAATGACCTTCATAAATTCTGATGGTGGGGCCAGCAAAAATATAAACTAGCCTTTGTGTTACGCTCCTCAGAGTTTTGTTATCTGTAAGCCCCACTTTGTGTAACTTTCTGGGCTATAAAGCTGGGCTGCAAAAAGCTGGGCTGCTATCTTGTTCCCGTGGTTTTTGTTGGGAGAAGCATCCGGCTGGTGGAAATAATAAGCTTGCTTTAATTTGATTTTAATTGGAGTCAGTGATCTTTTCTTGCGTACTGGTCTAACACTACTAACATGTCTTTTTCAAATAACTAATGTTTAGAAAAGCTAAATAAATAGGGAGACTTGTTCAAGTTTGAGAAATGAAACAAAACAAAACAAACCTCTAACTAAATGCAGTAAATGACTCCTGATTAGATCCTGGCTCAAAAGAAAATATCTACTATACAAAATTAGAAATTCTAAGAACCACTGAGGATATCTGAATAAGGCCCATGGAGGAGATAATATTAGTAAATGATTGTTAATTTTCTCAGAATTTGATTAAATAACATTATGTTTATGAAGGAGAATGTTCTTATTTTTAAAGACGCATACTGACATATTTTGGGGTGTGGTGTCTTTGCAATTTAGGGGTGATACAGAGGAAAAGTATATGTGTGTGTATGTGGGTGTAAATGTATGCATTTATTGCTTCTAAACATTTATATGTAAATAAATCAAATATGACAATACGTTAAACGTTAAATTGTTGAGTCTGGCTATCGGGAAGTACTATTGAATTCAGAGGGACAGATCTGGGGTTTATCGCTTTTACCGCTGTTATTATGACATCATCAGAAAGCTAGAATTACTGCCACCCCAAAGCACCACAAACTCTCGCGATACTACAGCCTGTAGGAGCGCGAAATGCGGTAGGAGGGGTGGAGAGAAAGACTTAACTTCCGGCCTGGCCGTTGTCTGGGTGGCGCGGTCGAGTCATCGCTGGGCCTCACCGCTTGTTTCTTCCATCCAAGCCCCCCCCCCGCCCGGGGGCGGGGGGTCGATCCGCCGAGCGCGACGGGAGGCGACGCGGACCTTTCCTATCATTTTGTCTTGGCCAGCGACCCGTCTACCCGCGCTGGGGCCTGGGGTCCTTGGGGCCCGCGAGGCCCGGTCTGAGGGGCCTGGGCCTACGCTGGCCCGCCGGGGGGCCCCATGAGGCATAGCCTGACCAAGCTGTTGGCAGCCTCGGGCAGCGATTCCCCGTCCCGCAGTGAGAGCCCGGCGCCGGCCGCGACCTGTTCTCTGCCCCCGGACCTGACCCGGGCGGCAGCAAGCGAGGAGGAGACGGCGGCGGCCGGATCGCCCGGCCGCAAGCTACCGCGCCGCGACGAGGGCGAGTTGGAGGCCGGGAGGGGGAGCCGCGACGGCGTGGCCGTGCGCGCGCCCTCGCCCGAGGAGATGGAGGAAGAGGCTATTGCCAGCGTCCCTGGGGAAGAAACGGAGGACATGGACTTTCTGTCTGGGCTGGAACTGGCGGATCTGCTGGACCCCAGGCAGCCGGACTGGCACCTGGAACCCGGGCTTAGCTCGCCTGGGCCTCTCTCCTCATCTGGCGGAGGCTCCGATAGTGGCGGCCTGTGGAGAGGGGACGATGACGACGAGGCTGCGGCCGCTGAGATGCAGCGCTTTTCAGATCTGCTCCAGAGGCTGTTAAACGGTATCGGAGGCTGCAGCAGCGGCAGTGACAGTGGCAGCGGGGAAAAGAGGCGGAGAAAGTCTCCTGGAGGAGGAGGCGGTGGCGGCAGCGGCAACGACAACAACCAGGCGGCGACCAAGAGTCCCCGGAAGGCGGCGGCCGCCGCTGCCCGTCTTAATCGACTGAAGAAGAAAGAATATGTGATGGGCCTGGAGAGTCGAGTCCGAGGTCTGGCAGCCGAGAACCAGGAGCTGCGGGCCGAGAATCGGGAGCTGGGCAAACGCGTCCAAGCACTGCAAGAGGAGAGTCGCTACCTACGGGCAGTCTTAGCCAACGAGACTGGACTGGCTCGCTTGCTGAGCCGGCTGAGCGGCGTGGGACTGCGGCTGACCACCTCGCTCTTCAGAGACTCGCCCGCCGGTGACCATGACTACGCTTTGCCGGTGGGAAAGCAGCAGCAAGACCTGCTGGAAGAGGACGACTCCGCGGGAGGAGTGTGTCTTCATGTGGACAAGGATAAGGTGTCGGTGGAGTTCTGCTCGGCGTGCGCTCGGAAGGCGTCGACTTCTCTTAAAATGTAGGGTCAAGTAATCTGCTCTTTATCCGCGTTTACCCCTTTCAACTCCCTTACACCATGTAAAACACCTTAGTGGGACATCTTCACTGGACACATTACAGAGGAGGAAAAAAAGTAATAATGAATCCTTTAAGTGTTTAGCTAAAAGCATGAATGTGACACTGTAACCAACTCCTAATGATAACCTGTGACTATTAAATCTCTCTGACAGTTTCTTTTTTAGGTGATTTCCTTCCTGCCAGGCTCCGTTGTAGGGGTTACAGAACAGTCGTTCCCGCCTCACAACCTGGTAAGGATCCATCTCTTCACGTAACGCTCATGCTCTGCTGCTTAGTCTACTTTAATGGGCAACATCTCAATTTGTGTGTGTGTGTGGTTTTTTTTTTTCCTTGTTTGGAAGGTGGGAGGGGAATCTGATTTGGGCCCTGTCCACCCTGGAAACAGACTTGTGCTGGTCAATGTATTTAAGATGCTTCTTCTGGTTGAAATAGCTGTTAATGTGTCCCCTTGTTCAGACTTGCGTGTACCTAGCTCTTCTGTCCCCAGTGTGGACATGGCCTTGGATGACATCGGTTCCAACTGTACACTGAAACCTGCTTATAGAGATACAGTTTGGAGACAGTGAAACAGGTGAAGTTGAATGGAAGTTCCGAGTTGTACAAGGTGCAAATTGGAATTCCAAATTTAGAGCAACTTTTCAGAGGTTGACAATAAATATTTGAGGCATGCACAAATGTGATAGCTTTTTTTTGCTGGAGATGACAGAAATCTCAAATATTCAAGATTGCCTTTTAGTTTTCACTAGAAGATATAGAAATACAATCTATTCAGATACAGATTTTAATCTCTCACCATTAGAGAAGTTGGAAATTAACGTACTTCTGTGTTTTAACTAATTGGATGAAGAATAAGAATGGTTAATGAAATGTTTTGGTTTTTTTTGAGGACCAGCACAGTGATTATCCTATCACTGTGTATGAACAAATTGTTGAACGCCTTTATTTTTGTTGTATTAAATTTTTAGGTTAAATTTTTGTATGTATGATTAGATATTGAAGATTGTGAAATGTGAATGAAAAAGTGTAAAGTGAGGCTTCACAAAGAATCTCTCTATTTGAAAAGTATTAACTGTATTTAAAAATACTTTTTAAAATTGAGTGGTTCTGGCCACTTAATGATATGATTGATGCTATTTTTCCAAAGAAGGAACATACTCTTCCCTTTAAGTACTCTTAACTATTGATGTCCTTCAGTGTAAGAGGCAATAAATTCTTTGTGAAACATCACTGTTTGATAAAGTATATACGTATTTAGCATCCTTGTTTTTCTTTGTGCTAAAGTGGATACAGCTGTTGGGGCAGAAGAGACGGGACCAGCTGCTGGCCACATTTCCTGCTTTATTTTAAAAGGTAGTATAAGAAATGAGGAAAAAGAGGTAACATCAGGGCTTCTGCTGTCTTTTATTTTTGAAATGTTCATAATTAAAAAATATTTTCCAGCAGTCCAAAGATGTAAGTTATCTTACACATGTTTTATTTTGTTGTTATTTGGTTATGGAAATGGACTCTTTGTTCTTGCACAACTGTAAATGTTTTTTTGCTAGATAATACAGTTTGAGACCTATATCGGTCTCGGTTTCCAGTGCATCATAGCATATTTTGTAAAATCATCTACTGCACTTCAGCATGAATGGGTAGTAGCCAAACTCACAACCTGGAATAATGAACCTGCTTATATAAGGGCAGGAACAAGCCCCTCACAATGCAGCTGCATGGATTTTTAGTGCCTACTGAATTTTTATATATATATATATATATATAAGTATATACATATATATATATGTACACACACATACACACACACACATAAACCAAAAGTAATTGGAAAAGATTATTTGAAATGACTAATTTGTGCTATCTTTATGAAATATGTTAAATGTAGCTTTTTGAAAGAGAAGCCTTGAATTGAAATTTAACTAATACTTGAACATTTTTGTATATATTTCTTTGTATATAATTTTGTGCAGTACCAATGACAAAAATACGGTGTCATAATAAAACCAGGTTTGTTGATCTTTCAGTCATGGGCTCAAAGAATTTATTCATCTCTAACATGACCTTGGAAAATAATGAATGAAATAGGAAAAAAATGATTGTTGTTAATGCCGACTCTGGGTCTTAATCAAAAGGTTCTGGAAGCAGTAAGTTCGTTTTTCTAAAAATTATACCATTCCCTTGGAATATTTTCTTCCTAACATCCGTGCTTTTACTGCATTATTTGAAGTTGGGGGCTGGGGAGAAACAGTAATCAAAGCTTTCTGAATTGGGATGTTTTGAAATTCCAAGTATAGATTTTTAGAATGTCATTTTATAAATGGCAATTTGGGGAATTACTTGATTAAGAACTTTTGAAAATGGAAAGATTAGTATTATTTTTAAAGCTGCTTTGTTAGGTTTCTTGTGTTTTATTAACTGTCTTCTCAGTTTCCATTTCATAATTTCTTTTCTAGTTTTGGTGACTTAGTGATTTTTGTCATTTTTTTACATCAACTCATGGTCTTGTTTTTACATGGTAATTGCATGTATTTAGGACCTATCTAACAGGGCTTTAAATAAATTTGGTCATATTTATGTGTAAGCACATTTTACTGTAAATGTTTGGGTTTCTGAATTTACAACAGATGTTTATTTCAGTATGTAGTAAACAGTATCTTAAAGTGTCCTATTCACTACTTGTTAATTAAAAAAGTTATGATTAATAAGAAACTGTTGTCTTACTATTTTTAGAAAATTGTGTTCTGAATGATTAGTATTTGGATAAAGGAGATTTCTGGAATATAAAATGATTGTTTGACATTTTCAGGTTTGGTTATGTTTACTTTAATGGTTAGAAACAATTTAGAATTTGGGGAACTTTTGTCCTTTTTTCCTTTAATTATTGTGCCTCTTTGGTAAAATGATAACAGACTAGACTAAAGATATAACTTTTGAATATGGTGGCAGAAATTCATACATTAATTGAACTAACACATCATATTGACCTATTTCTATCATATTGACTTACTGTTTTCTGCACTTCCTTGACCAGACTTAACTAAAATGTAATCACACCTCTGATATATCCAAAGAAGTGTTCAAAATATTTTAAATATTTGTGCATTTTATAATCACTAAATTAATCTCTCTCTCTTCTCTTTAAACAGCATAGCAGTATCTGCAAAAACGAATCTTTTCCTACAACCTGTTAACTGACTGGACTGATGGTAACAAAGTAATTGTGGGAGCCATGTCGGTCAAAAATTTGGCATCTGCTGAAAAAAATGAATGCCATTTTCAAGTTCCCAAATTACTTCTATACTGATTTCACTTTCCAGAAATGGAGATATGAAAAGATTCTCTGGAATGCTTGAAAGACTTAATAGAAATACATGAGACTAAGTTAATTTTGGAACAAAATTATACTTTTCTTTCATGGGAGTGATACTCAGTTCTTTGCATACTTTTTAAACATTGTAACCATTGGAGAGAGAATTATAGTATTTGATCAAGTATTTGATATATTAGATTCTTTAATAATCAAGAGCACATTCTATGGAATTACATATAGTGGACTAGAATTACATAAACAGGCCATCAGTGATTACAAAGCATATAAAGAGTTTGTATTTATTTCCTGGAACATAAGAGCTAATTTGGAGGACAGATAGACATCTTGCTGAGTAGAATATAAAAGTTAATGTAAAGTTCTTAACTATAAAGGGTAGTTTTGTTTAAATAGATGCATTGATTTGCCTGTAAATTTTGAAAAAATTATGACAAAATGTATGGGTAGTTATTTGCAATCTAGGGTAACACTAGGATGTGTGGATTCTGAGATTGTGGATTCTTGAGCTTTTTCTGAGTACTTGATACTGTTTTTTTTTTTTTTAACATTGAGGTTTCTCATGAGTTTCTACTGTTTTATATTAAAATCTGTAGTGTTATATAAGGGCTTTAGTATTCTGGATAATGGGAGTGGCTTTTTCGTGGCATATGGTTGTTTTACAATGTTTTTCTGGTTTGTTGTAAGTATGAAAAAAACTCAAAAACTGTGGATTGTTTTATCTCATTTTTGTTGGGTTAATACTTTTCTCACCTGGTTTGGACTGTCATTTTAATGACTCACTTGGGAATTGTGTAGATGATAGAAGACGGAAAGGGTAGGAGTTAGGCTGTATTTCACAATAGCTTTGAAATTGGCCTTTGTGTGTTATTATTCAAAATGTATTCGGTCTACCTAGTTTCTTATAATCTAAATGTTTTAGTTGCCTGTAAAGCCAAGCAGTAAAAATCATTCCGAATGACTTATACTTAAGTGGCTAATGCTCCTAAAGGACAGGTGATTCTACAAGTAAAGGTTTAGGTGCCAGTAATTTTTGGTGAGCATTGATTCTTATTACTTTGATAGAATACAAATTGGATAATTCATCAATAATGAGTGATTATCTTTTTAATATATATAGTTCAGCGTTTTGATGGCATAAATTAAAGATCTCACCAAATTAATCTGATGACTCTTCAAAGTTTAATAGATATTAAGATACTTAGAAGTATTTATTCCCCCTCTCCATTTGCTATCAGTACAGTTTTGAGACCCTTCTAAATGTTTATATTTTTTTCCTGAGCTTTTTTTCATTTAGTTACCTTCTAAGCCAGGGGTTCAGAGGGGAAGGTCTTCCATTAGAAACTTGAGAATGCTGTTTGGTCAGCATAGTATTTTTCATATTTGAAGCAGAATACTTTTATGTGTACTCTGAATATTCAGCCACTTATTCTTGTTTATAAAGTACTAATTTTTTGTTGACCTAAAATTATTAATTTTGCTCAATTTTCACAACATTTAAAAGTCTAGTCACTAATTATTTGGGACATTGTATAATTCTGCTATTATAACAATTTGAATTTTATTGATAGCCCAACTTTCCTTAGAATGTGCTTCAAAGTTCTCTTTCATGTATTCCCACAAGATCGATTTCTCAAACCACTCTTGACTCTTCAGTGTTTACAAAATGTTTAGTATGACCCTTTAAAGCCGTTTAACTACACAAAGTGAATTGTAAAAAGATTTAAATAGTCTGTCTACCCTGACTAGACTGATATGAAGAACTGCTTTCCTAAGGGAAGCAGTGTTCTTTAAAGATCAGGCAGCTCACAGCAGGTTCACATGTCATGTATCTGCCTTCTGAACAAAAATTCTGGCAGATCTATAGCAACAGACAAAATATTGCTTTTATTGCCTATGTTGCACATTTCTTCTAACTGGAAAGATGATTTGAGAAATATGTAGTAGAGGATAGATGTTAGAAATCCTTTTTGACTACGGAAACCATTATTAAAGATTGTACTCATTTACAGATGGTTTACCAGGGAGTAAATATTCTGGAACAGTTTATCTAGTTGATAAAGGAGTCTTGACTAATTTGTATTTCTTATTTTTGAAGTAAGGAATTTTAGTTATTTTCACTGCGATGTAGACTCTGCTTTAAAAGTGATAGAATGCAGATAAAATGGAGAACTTGGATCAAAGAACCTTTACCCCCTGTCCTTTTTTGTGTGCACGTGTTGGGATTGAACCCAGGGCCTTGCACATGCTAGACAAGCACTTTACCAACTAAGCTACAGTCCCCAGCCCCAAATCTTTCCTTTTGATATTTTAGCTTGTGAAAGAAACAGGTCATTTCTTTTGCCTTTTAAATTTTTACATACAATTTTTTTTTTTTTGGTACTAGTACTAGGGATTGAACTTTGATGTTTTACCACTGAGCCACCTCACCAGCCCCTTTTTTGTAGTTTTTAAATTTTGAGACAGCCTTGCTAAGTTGCTGAAGCTTGTAGTGAACATGCAATCTTCCTGCCTCAGTCTCCCAAGTTGCTGGGATTACAGGTGTGTGCCACTGTGTCTGCCTTTTCTCCTTAGTTGTAAAAGTAAAGCGTATTTATAATAGGAAACTTGAGAAATCCAGAAAGAAAGCAAATAAAATCACTCTGTAACCCAGAGGATAGTCACAGCAAACATTGTGCCACATTTCCCTTGTGCAAGTTTTGTTTTTTTTGCTCCAATTGGTATCATTTCTTATATCAAAAATACATTTTATGTGCCTATTGAAAGAACAAATCATCTTTGCTTTTTGAAAAGCTAAAAGTATTATTTGTTAAGTCACTTGAATTTTAAATTTTGGTAGCTGTTTTCTTTAAATAGGCTAAGCATACAATGCTTAACATTTAAGTCACTATTTGGAAGTAGTAGTTGAGGTAGATCAGGAATATGATATTGGATGGGTAAGATTTGACTTGGTACTCTTCTGTGGTGACTGACTTGCTTCATAAGAAAATTCTGGTCTAGATGTGCACTGTCCAATTCTGTAGCCGTGGATCCATACTTCAGATGCTAGTGGCTAACAGAAGATGAGTATTATCTAACATCAGGTTGGACAATGCTGATTCAAGGTTCTGTCATATAAGAAAATGGCTTAAAGAACTAGGATGAGAAATATTTGGAATACAGTAAATTACTTTAAATAATTTAAACGGTCTCTTCATGAATGAATTTATGAAGATATTTCAGAAAGCAAAATAAAGCAATAGGAAGAATATATAGTTACCATTTGAGTCCCTGGTGTCATGTGCTATTAGGTAATTTACTTATGTAATACCAGCCTTCAGTGAGGTAACTGATAAGGATACCAAGGATTAGAAGTTAGTTAACTTGCTTATTAGTACATATATACTAAAAAGAGTGGTTTTAAAAATCTCTGATAAAGAACTATCCCACATTAGATAGAAGCTTTAAAAGATAGACTTTGTCTATATCTTATAAAAATATAGCTTTCTGAGAATATAGATTAGCATTGATGTCCTGTGAGGAAATTTGTAAGTTCTAAAATTTTTAATGATACCTATGGAAACACTGAGGAAAAAAGTAAAAGTAACATTTGCTATATAGATTTTTGTTTTCATTTTCCTATTTGACTTTGTGAAGTCTTCGTTGAAAATTACTGTATATTTTCTTGTGTCCAAATTCAGTGCTGAATGTATTAAGTGGGTGTCTTGAGTCCAGCCTTTGTTGCCTTTGTGTAACCTTTTGTTGTAGGTCCCAGAATTATACCTCTTAAGATAAATTACAGGTCTACATTTATTTTTAACATTAAGAGAGACAGGTTATCTTCGCAATTTTATTTTGTATACACATTTCCTCTAAATCAGTGAATTTCTAGGCCTGGTTCAGGTAACTGAAGGGCCTTTATAAGTACTTTATATTGTCTAGACCCAAGGTATGCTGCAAACATAGTCTGAAGTAAAATGGGAAATAACATCTTTCTGAAGATAGGCTTAGAAATTTTAATCCAGTAAGTTAAGGTGTTTCCTTTCTCTGGTAGCAGGGCTGATTGATACCTGTAAGAAAACATTAAGAAATCACTAGAATAGAGTTTTGTATCAAGTGGCAAACCTATGTACAATACATAATAATCCTAAAAGTCTTAAGATAAAATAGATAAAAAGATTAGGAAATGCTATTCTCGTTAGTGGCTACTAGTACTAAAAACTGCTTTGTTTTCTTTTTTGCCTCTTTCTACTGGTTATTCTCTGAAGGCTCATATAGAATGCTGATACAAGAGTTCAACAGAGACATATGGGAATTATTTGGGACTAACATGGCTGTAGACATTCCTGATAGAATTTTCCTTTAGTACAAGTGCTCAAACTCTTGAACTATTTTCAAATTAATTTATTGGTTCTTTTAGTTATACTTGATAACAATCCAATTTGATATAATTATAGAGGCATGGACTACTATCTTTTTGTGACTTTTAAAAAATTTATTAATTAGTTATACATGACAGTAGAATACATTTTGATATATCATACATAAGTGGAGTATTTTCAAATTCTTGGTAAGTCCAAAGTGGTTAAAGAAAAAGCAAATCTTCTAAGCAAAAAGGTAACATTGCCTTTCTTCTAAATCTAAATATATTTGCTGTTTTAAGTTCTGAGTTTTCTAGGTATATATTAAAGGCTTTCTAGTAATTATAAGAAAACAGAATCCTACCTGGCTGCTAGGCCACCATTTATAGGTATAGCCAAGAAAACAGGATACAGACCTCCTAAAACTAAACCAACAAGTCCACCCCGTGTCACAGTACAGGTTTCACAATTCAAATCACCTAGAAAATAAATAAATTAATTTTGGAAATTTTGGTCATGATAGTTAAAGCATGATTTAAAGAATACAAAGTCCACTTAATATTTATTTTCTGGCAACAAAACAACACATGCAATTCTGCAACATAACTAGAGGTTGGGGATACTTAGAGGTAGAGTGCTTGCTTAATATGTGTAAGGCCCTGGGTTTGATTTCCCAATACTGAGACAAAAAAAAAAAAAAAAAAAGGTATAATTTACATGTAGGGAAAAGACACTCATCTTAGGGAAAAAAATTCTTCAATTGGAACTGGTCTTGGATATAATCATCTCAAGATATGGGCTGCTTCTAGATTTCTGCACTTGTTTTGTATCAGACATGGGCTAATATTTTCATTCACTATTCAGTGGGCAACAGGTTTGTTTTGTTCATACAAATTCCATAGTGGCCATGGGAATTCAAAGTACTCATCCAATTTAATCAAATTTGGAAAACTTAAAATCATTTATCAAAAATTTTGTGACTCAAAATTTTACATATGGTAAAACTTAAAAGAAAGTTAAATCTTCCACTTATTTGTTGTTATATATGCATGTAATGCTTTAAGAAATTTACTACATAAAGAATCTTATTCCCATAAAGTATTTTTTCTCTAAGGAATTTCTCTATAGAATATAAATTTAAAAAGAAATCTAAGGCAGTCAGCATTTTTGTAAAATATGAGGTTTCCAAACATTCCTTACTCTGAGTGCCGGAGGGGAAACATAAATCAGATAAAGTATTCAGCACTGCTGTGTCTGTGCATTTTACTTTGTTGGTAGGCCATGCTAACATGAATTCATTGCCACATAACAGGTTATCAAGATAGTCTTACCCAAACACTGCATATAGTTATTTGATATTTAAATTGAAAATAATATTTGAGGCAAAGTCTTTGGTGATAGTAAAATAGAATTTACCTGTACTCAAAGGTAAACTTACAAAACCTTTGAAAGATGCATTTGCTGTCAAAAATGGGAGCACTGCCATTGGTAAGCTAGCAGCTATTCGGGCCTGTGTTACATGCAAGACACGCCGAAAAAGACTGTTTGCTATTAGGCCACAAAGAGCAGCATTAAGTCCAATATATGTGGATCCATGTTCAAGAAGATTCCTGAGGGTAAGAAAAAAATAATTTTTTGGTTCCACTGTGAACTCTTCCATTTTGGCATTACTAGGGCTTTGGGAATAACTAGACAACATCTATCCTTTACAGTTCCATTAAACCAAAGCCTTAAATCACTGTTTTAGACTTTAATACTAAAAGACTTTTAAATTTGGTCAGTACTTAAGGATAGGGTGATATAAAGTGATACTCTATACTGGGTACTTTAATTGACGGATATATTGATGTTTTGAGACAATAAGTGGGAGAAATGGATTTTAAGCCAAGGTTGTGTATGAATTTACAACTCCCATTCTATTCTTTTTTGGGAAAAACAATACCTAAAATTATCAATAGATATTGGAAATACTCCAACCGAAACACTTCAGCCTACTACTTAGTTGCTATCTTCAACACAGTTCACCCTCTTTTCTTGTTACTAGTCAAACTAAGCCACACAATATCCCCTCTAACCTCTTCAGTTTAAACTTAAGACAACTTTTCTAGGAACTCCTAGTTAATTTCCTATATTTTATAGGGTATTACTATACTTAATGGTACTTTATAATGATGTCCATCATTTCACTCACTGAGAACCTATTGCAGACTTAGTGCTAAGGCACAAAAAATTCTCTTCTGCCTTTAAAGATTTTATAGTTGACTAATTGTGAAGAAGAAAGACACATAAACTTGATAGAACAAAGTCTACAAAAATGGTTTGGGAACTTGGGATACACAAGATATCAAAGAGTGTGATAAGAGTTTAGAGAACCTACCAAACAACCACAGAAAACATGGAAATGTGAAAGGCCTTTTTTGTTGTTGTTGTTTTTTTTGTGGAGGGTTGAGGAAATGGGACATATGAGCCTTCTCTGAAGAATCTAAGTATTTCATCATAAAAATATATGTGTACTATCCCTGTTTTAATCATAGGAACCACTGCTTAGATAATAAAACAAGTAGTAAAACTGGAATCTGAAAAGCAAACTGTTTTCTCTCAACCAGATTTTAATTTTCTATGGCCAAAGTTAAGGTTTTTAGTTAATAATTCTTTTGGTTCAGCCAGTTTTCCAAACAAGTTATGCACAATTGAAAACACAGCTAACGGGCTGGGGATGTGGCTCAAGCGGTAGCGCACTTGCCTGGCACACGTGTGGCCCGGGTTCGATCCTCAGCAAGCACCACATACAAAGATGTTGTGTCTGCCGAAAACTAAAAAATAAATATTGAAAAATTCTCTCTCTCTCTCTCTCTCTCTCTTTTAAAAGAAAACACAGCTAACTATCAGGCTCATTAAATATAAAAAAGATCAAATTTAGCAAATGGCAGTGACATACGTGGAACATGTGATTATTGTATAGATTGAAAAGTTTTATGTTATAAAATGTTTATACAGTTCAGAACATACTAACTTAAGCATAGTTAATGGTCTGACAATGCACAAAGGGGTGAGGACTCAAAATTAAAAGATAAAATGAAAATAAAGAGAAAAAGGAACAAAGAACACTACTACATGCCACTGTTTGAAAGCAATTTAGTATCTTTGAACTAAATTTTCACATTTCAGTTTTAGTTCACTTCCCAGTATAATTTGGTAAAGGACCCAGTGATTGCCAACTTTTTCAAAGTTGCTACCATCTCTTTATTTCCTTGTGTCAGTCTATGGTTTTCCTTACCTTGCTTGGCTTGGAAACATCCTTTTTTGCTCTATAAGTTTTTCTCTTTACCTCAAGAAAAGTGGTATGTAGTGGTGGGGAGGGACAGAAAACCTTTAAAATCTCACCCAGTTCTTATTACTGCTCTTGACTTTAGGTTCTCCCTTGTTGAGATAGTTAATAGCAAGGCTGGAATTTGTGTAGTTATCACACCTGAAGACAGTATAGCTCCAAAATGTATTTTAAATCCTTTTTCCATTTCAACTGCCACCACTCTGCACCCTGTACTCACCAATATAACTATGCCACTTTTTCTAATATTTCTTTTCCTTCCTACCTTAAATCTGTTTTCTAAAAAATTTCATTAGGAAGTTTAATTGGATCACATTTTCCTCCTTAAAACTGTTCTGTTTCCAATGTCCACTTCCCTTGTATTTCAGTAACATTGGTTCCTCAAATATGACAAACTCTTTGGTATATCCTATTCTCTCTACCTGAGATTCTGTTTCTCTTAATCAGGTTGGCTCCTTTTCATTTTAAATATATTTTCATTAGAAAGATTTTAATTGTTGAAGTCTAAGAGCGTTTTCTGGAAGTGTACTGTAGTTATCTTCGTTGTCTTCAAAGACTATATGTTTCCTATATTTTTCTCTTTAATCATATCTTAAATACCTTTAGCCAAGATCCCTTTCCCATAAAAATATATACAGCCATATTTTTTAGACAGGTAAGTACACTGATCGAAATGAACTGAGAAAGAGTTTTGTTATTTAAATGAGTCCATGACTGTTGTACAGACTGCTGTACTCCAAGCTAAAATGAAAAAATGAATCATGATACAACTGGATATGTCTGAAGACATGAAATCCAGCCTCAACTTCCACAGTTTAGCTTTGATATTGAATAAAATGGTTAAGCTCTTTGGGGCCTCAGTTTTCTCATCAAAGCAAGAAAAGGGTTTAGTTTTTCCTTTTGATAGTCTATGTTGTTCATACTTAACGTAAATTTGAGATAACAAATCAATGAAAACACACCTGGAAAAAACATTTTTAAATTAAGGGATCCTACCTTTCTGCTTCTGGTAGTAGTTCAATTTTTCTGGCTATGATATCAAAAATTGACTTTTCCTTGATAGTATCATGTGGTTTATGATTTTCCATCTTGACCCTTAAAAAAACATGAAAATGAAAAGCAATACCCAAAGCTTCTAAGAAATACAGTGTATCTTTGTAATCTTAATATTTCCTGAACAATTCACAAATAGCACTAAACACAGAAGACTTATAAAACCCTAGCCAATATTAAACTTAATAACTTGTTTCTTCAGTAGATATCATGAAAATAAGGTAGTGTAGGAGAACATGTTTGTAACTAAAGGAGTGGTTAGTATCTGTAGCATAAACAGAACTACAAAACAAGGCAAATAACCCAATAGAAAAATTGAGAAAAGATTTGAACAGGCACTTCACAAAAAGACAAAAGTCAATAAATGTGAACAATATACTCAACTTCAGTATCATTAGGGAAAAATAAGACCACAGAAACCAATAGGTACCTATAACTTAGCTAAAATTAAAATCTGATGACTTCAATTACTGGCAAGAATTTAGTGGAGCTGAAACTTGTGTGTTGTGGGTGGAAGTGTAAATTGCACCTAAAGTAGGTACCACCACTTTGGAAATAATTTGGCATTGGGAAGAAGATGCCCCACAATTTGCTTTTTGGTATACCCTAGAGAAAGGGCCAGCAAACTTTTCTCGAATGGGCCAAAAAACATTAAAGATTTTAAGCACTGCGGGTAACCTATAGTCTTTATTGAATTTTTAAAAATGTAAAAAATTCATTCTTGGCTGGATGGAAACAAGTTTTAGACTGCATGTGGCCTACATTCCAGTAGTTTGTTGATCTCTACTAGAGAGGGTCAATGTCAGAGTAGGGAAATGGTGAATGAATTTTGGCATAAAGCTTCAGATTCCAAGTTAACAGTTAAGAAAAGCAAAGATTTAGGGACAACATGGTTTTATGTATCAGATTGTCTTGTTTCACTATCACTATTCATTTACTTAAGATTATAGCACTAACTAACAAATATTTACTGTGGATATGTTTAAATGTAAAACTCATTTAGGTTACCAGGACTTAAATTTTTGAGGGCCTTGGCTTCAATAATATGATAGACAAATCTCTTCCATGTAGGAGTACTGGATGATTTTTTATGGGGTGGAAGAAATTATGTAATCAAACTCAGTGTGATGTATATGTAAAAAAATATTTTCTTAGGATCTACAGCCTAATGCTACCACTACTTTTCTGTTCTCTGCATACTGGTGAGGTTCTTAGTTCTGTGAAACAGTTGTTTCTAGCACAAGTCACCCTTAATTGGGTAAAAGTCCTGACTGGATAGCTCCCTATGAGCACTGTGTCCCCATTATTAACAAAAAAAAACTCTATTCAAGGCACTGCCACCTTTAAATACAACAAACATTCCGAAAGATTTTTTTTTTGCACTATCTCACATCACCGTCGAGAGCTTCCAGAGAATGGCAATGGGTAAAATAGAGACAAAATTAAATTTGGCTACGGTCACCCTGTAAATTGGCAGTAATCCCGGGGCTAAATTATGTCATAACATTTTTTTAAAAAACTTCCCCCTATTGACTTAGTTTAAATATAGGGTCTCAACTTCTAGGGTGGAAAGTGAAAAGACAATTCCGTAAGGTCGCAGCCCCTCCTCCATTGTCTCGTTCCGGTGCTGCCGGTGGATAATATGTCACCACATCGTACTTATCCGGTCACCAGGATATTTGCTTTACCCCTTTCCTAGCGTGCCAATACCTGCTGCTCTCCTCCCAACAGCCGGTGCCTCCCCTGTTCTAACACGCCGGGGCTTAAGATACAACCTTTACTCCGTTCCTCCCAGCGCAGCCATCTTCGGCAGACACGTGACTCGGAGGTAGCAGCCGCTTCCTGTTGAGTGGCTTCCGGCCGAGGGAGAGGCTGGGCGGGTCGGCTAGGAGGTTTGCCTCTTGTCGAGGATGCGCCTTTCACCCACCCTGGCGTCTTAGGGCAGGCCTTGCAGAAATTAATTCTGGTATGTAAATTGGGTGAACCTAAACCGACTTCTACAGAAACCTACTTTGAGCATGTTACTCAACTTCCTGGTCAGTAGAGTCCATCTCGTGAGGTTTGCATGGGGTATATGAAAACCACACAGAATTAATAAGTGAAGGGAACTCTGGTTAAAATGAGAAGAGGAGCTGAGATTTCTTTGCTCCACCGACTTTCTACTCTCTCTTGGACTTTAAGCGCTTCGTTCCATGTTTTGATCTGGTGGGTTATTCCAACATAACCTGAGCAACGCAAGAGCAAGAACTTGTTTTCAGAGGATTTTTGGTGCCCTGCAGAATACCGCTTATTTGAAAGCAGAGTTGGACGAATGGGGTGAAAGAGAAACTGTTCCCAGAACATCCTAGGGTCTCCGTCGATCAAGAAAATTGAAAATCAGTGTTTTGGACCAAGACTGAAGACGTTTGTCTTAGGTCTCGTCTCCTCAGCCTCTTTCTTCATCTTTAAAACAAAAGGGGAAAATATGCCTTCATTAATTATTTTGTTAAGTTGTGAGGGTCCAATAAAAATGCTTACCAAGGTTGCTTTGAAAATCATTGAATTTTATCAAAGTAAGGAGAACATGGTATTCAAGATTAAGTGGGACCTTCATAGGCAAGGTGAGTAGTATAAAGAGCTCCAAAAGTCCTTGTGTGAGAGGGATTTAGCAATATCACATCATCTGTAGTCAGAGAACCAGAAAAGAAAACAATTTCTCAGATTTCTAGGTGGAACGTTTCCCAGTAGGAAAGTTTGTGAGATAAATGCAGAGAGTTTGGGAAAAACTAACATTTTTATTTTTTTTTTGGCATATGAATACTTTTTTGTTTTCTGGTTCTATTTTATACTCTTTATCTAATCTTATTTTTAAAGGTTTGAAACCAATTTTCAAATTAGTAAATGTTCATGCTGTGTAGAACTGGTAGCATGCCATTATGGATTAATAATGGAAATTTAGTATATTGAGAATTTTAAAAATATAAAAAAGTAAACTAGACACTAAAGAATGATAAAATTTTAGTAGTAGAAAGTGTTACAAGTGAGGTTTGAATGTCAGAAAGTATAAGATATTTAAGGAAATGGCTAATAGGTTAGCTTGGTTAGTATTTAATATTAAGGCAGAGAAAGAAAAGTGTTCAGTTTTTAGTCTCAGAGAACCAAATTCCTGAGAAGAAAGATGAATTTAAGTGTCAAGATGAAGCAGCAAAACAAGACATCATTGATTACCATTTACTATGAAAGAATTTGTGACTTCTGTCCATATTTTACAAGGCACCTGTTAGAGATTACATTAATTTACATTTGAAAATTAGATTATAATATGCCCTTCTAAAAATTATTTAATGGTTTTCCATGGACTTTGAATAAACTCCAGGTCCTTAATATGGTCTTTAAAATGCTGCATAATTTGACTCCATTCTCACTTCTCCCAAGTTAAAACATTTGAATACTCACTTGCTGTGTTTGTCTAGGTGCTTTGGTTTTTCAGTTCCTCCACTCTCTAAGCTTTTTGATGCTGTAGATTCTTTAGCCATGTTGTTCCTCTTTAACCACTCTTCCTCCCTAGATTTTACATGGCTGACTTCTTATTCTTTGGATTAGTCAAACCTTGACTTTTCTTGACCACCAGTCTAAACTAAATTCCTATTAGTATCTCATTATCCTCTTTCTTTCAAAGCATTTATTTCTTCATCAAGTATTTATTGAGAACTGATGTTTCTTTCACTGGCTCTCAGGAGCTCATAGAATAGTGAGAGAGACGGACAAGCACAAAAACAATTTGTGAGTTCTGTGCTCTTTTTGAGATACATAGAGGATACTATGGAACATCTAACTCTGCCTGAAATATCTAAGAAGGCTTTTAAGAAAAAAGCTGATTCTCTGAGTGGCACTGCTATATCTTGTGACTTAGATGTTTGCATAGCAGACTTTGAAATTTCAAAGTGTGTTTCCTTCTGGGTCAGAGCGCAGATTTGTTTTCTGACACAGATATAAAGATATGTCTTCCTTATGAACAAAGCTTGAACAGCTTTGCTTGTAGCTCCTTTGTAAAATTAGGAATTACCTATTAATGGTATTCCTTTGCCATGACATGTATCCACTTTGTGTCTAAAACTGTTATGGTTTGAATCCGTAGTGTACCACAAAGGCTCATATGTTTAAGATTTGGTTCCTAATGCAGTAATGTTCAGCAGTATTGGACTTTGGAGAAGTGATTGGATCATGGGGCTATGATCTCATCAATGGATAATCCATTGTTGGAGTCATTGCTGAATGAACTTATTGGGAGGGTGTAGAAAATGTAGGAGTAGGACCTAGCTGAAGGGAATGGATCCTTGAGGATGTCCCCTTGGGAACTACATATTGTTACCTGCTCTTTCTGTCTTTCTCTCTCCCTCTTCCCCCCTCCTCCCTCTTTTCTCTCTCTCCTCTCTTTTTCTCTTCTTCCCTCTTTCTCTGATTTCTAGCTACCAGGATATGAGCAGCTTTGCCCTTGCATGCCCTTCCACCAAGTTGTACTGCTTCACTACAAGCCCAGAAACAATGGAGCCAGCTGACAATGGAATGAAACCTCTGAGACTGATCCAAAATAAATCTCTCCTCCTTTAATTTTGTTTTCCAGATATTTTGTTACAACGATGGAAAGCTAACTAACAAACATTCACCTGGGTTCACCTCCAAATAACTTTTGTGGGACTCAAGTGGCCATATAAAGCAATGAAAATGTGAAAGCTCATGTCGCCTGCTGTGTCATGACTAATAAAGTCTGCTTAATCTAGTAGGACTCACTGTCTCATTACTAGCCAAGTCAATGGAAGTGTGGCAAGTCAACTCAGCAGCTGATGTTGCTGCTTAGGAATTGTTTGATTGTTCAATGTTTGATTCACAATTATATATTCTAGTACAGTAGTCGCTATCACACATGAGTATTAAGCAGAGGAAATAATACTAGTCAAAATTTCAAAATTGAGATTTGCTGTAAGTATAAAACATCAGATTTTGAAGATTTAGAATAATTTTTTTATATATTGAAATGATAATAGTTTAAATATATTAGATGAAATAAAATTGTTTAGGTACAGCTACTAGAAAATGTGATATTTATAGTATGTGGTTTGTAGTACATTTCTACTGGACAGTGCTGATTTAGAAGCTACATCTAAATTATTAGAAGGTAAAAAACTATTGTAATAAGTACACAGTTAAATATAGCAAATACGCGATCATGTTACATCTCAGAGATTTTAATTTTCATCCTTCAAATTTTTGAGCAACTGATAAAGTGTTTCATTATCCTTACTATCAATCCATATCAGGGTTGCTTGACTTTTAGGCTCATTTCCTGGTGCAAAGGAAGTGTATAACTGTAGTTTCTAAACTTGCAGAGATATAAAGGTTTATGTTCATGAAAGTGTAAAAGAAGGAAATTTTCTAGTCTTTCTTTCAAATGCCTTGCCTTCCATCTCAAGGTTTGAAGCAAACACTAAATCACAGTAGTTTGCTCACTGAATTGGCCTGAATGGAATTCAATAGGAATTCTGAATATCAGACTGTGTTTCTTAATTATGTAGAAACTGTAAAACTACCAACTGGTAATGAATAATTGGAGATAAGGTTTAGAAGATAAAATAGAAACAAAGAGTATGGAATGTCTTAAATGTCTAAGAATTTGCTTCCTTTCATTTGCTGTATTTACAGGAAGATAGTAGTTAAAAATGGGAGTGACATAATCCTAATTTCACTTTGATACAATTAATATGTACAGAAAAAAAATGGTGGTGATACTAGAGATGAAGATTAATTAGGTTTTTCCAAATTAAAAATTTGAAGACACACTCAAAAAGTCAAAAATCAAATGTGTTTCCCACTCTTATATCTGGACCTGTATTGTTTCCTCTCTCAGGGGTTGATGACAACATCCATCTTGATGGACAAGCCAGAAACCTGAGTTCCTGTACAATGACATTACTCCCTACAGGCTAATCAATCATGAACTTCTATTTTTCTCTTAAATATCCTTCATAACTGTCTCCCACCTAAGCACTGGAGGTGATTTGTAGAATCAAATTCTACTTTTGTCCTCCTTGCAGCCAGTTTTTGCATGGCATCTATGAAAATTTCTTATTCCCAACAGTTTAGCTGAACTTGGGCTGTACATAGAAAGAAAGGAAATGGAAATGGAGTTATAAATCTGCAATGCCTGTGATGCTTGCCTTAGACCAATGTACTTATTTTCAAAGTAGGAAACGAAGAACAATTTGTCAAAGCATATGTTTTTTCTGTTACTAAAAATGAATGTTGCTGTTTTGATTTACAAAAAAAGCTTTGAGAAATTCTGAATAAGAATATCTAGATAATTTTATTTTCTTATGGCCTGTCTGAGCTCTTTCTAACAACAAATATTGGTACTTAAAATAGCCAATCCAAATAAAAGAAAATGGAATCTGACCACTTACCACTGTTTTCATTACTACTACCTTAATCTATCATCTTTCACCTGGCCTATATATACCTTTCTGTGTTGCAAAGAAAATTCCTGGAATGTGGCTCTGACTTCATTACTACTGAAAGTAGTTGATCCACAGCAATTTCACATTTTCCAAAGATGATAATCAAAAAACAAAAGAGGGACTTTCAGATTCTAGAAATGACCGAGTAGCTTATATTGGATAAATATTTTTATTAATAATAATTATAAAACTGGGCAGTAAGATTTTAAAAGAGATTAGAAAGCAATCAAAAGCATACATATAGAAGAGGATGTATTGATTTTTTTTTTTTTTTTTTTAGCAGTGTTGATGATCAAACCTGGGCCTTTGTTTTTACTAGGCAAGCATGAATGCATTTTTTCAATGTTAAGTCACTTTTGTATTTCTGGAATAAGCCTCACTTTGTCATGAGGTATACTACCTTATATATATTGGTTTGCTAAAATTTAAATTTTTTTCATCTATGTTCATGGGGAATATGGGACTACTGTTTCTTTCCTTACAATATCTGTTTAATATCAGGGTAGTGCTGGGCTTTTTAAATGAGTGGGCAAATTTCTCTTCAATTATTCTGGAGAGTTTTATATCGGTATTATTTCTCAGATGGTAGAATTTACCAGTGAAGACTTCTGGACCTGGAGTTTTTCTAGTGGAGAGAATTTTAACTATAAATTTAATAATTATAATAGATACATGGTTATTATGGTTATGTGTATCTTCAGTGAACTTCATAAGCCCTCACAAGACAAAATGAAATGTCTATTTCATCTAAGTTCCCAGATTTATTGGATTAAATTATTAAAAGTGTTTCCTTATTATCATTTTAATATCTATGGAATCTATAGTGAAGGAACATCTCTTTTGGTATTGGTCATTTGAATTTTCTTTTTTATGTTTGATCTGTCTGGCTCATGGCTGATCTTTTTATTTCTTTATTTTTCTTTGATAGGGGGATTGAACCCAGAGGTGCTCTACTACTATAAAGTAAAAAGGTCTCAGTCCTTGCCTTCCTGTTGCCTCAGCCTCCCGAGTTGTTGGGTTTACAGGTGTGCATCATGTTCCTGGCTGATTTATCTCTCTCTTTTTTTAATCTTCAATAATCAGCTTTTGGTTTAATTGATTTTTTTGTTTTCTGTTGGATTTTCTGTGTTTGATTTGTTCTCCAGTCTGTATTATTTCCGTTCTTAATTTTACCTGAGATTAAGATACTTTTTTGTCAAGTTTCTGTAGATGGGGTCATTGATTTGAGATTGATTTTTCCCTATAACATTTAGTATTACAGATTTCCTTTAAGTACATTTTAACTGTATCCCACAGATTTTCACAAATTATTTTAATTCAATTAAAAAAACTTTCTAATTTCTCTTTGGTTTCTTCTTTGATATGTGGATTATTTAAAAGTGTGTAAGTTTCCTATATTTTTAGTTTACTAGATACTATTCCTCTATTGAATTTTTTTTTTTAAATTAGGGGTGCTTAACCACCGAGCCACATCCCCAGCCCTAATCTTACCTTATACTTTTTTATTTTTTTTATTTTGAGACGGTCTTGCTAAGCTGCTTAGGGACTCATTAAGTTGCTGAGGTTGGTTCTGTACTTGAGATCCTCCTGCTTCAGCCTCCTGAGTCACTGGGATTATAGGTGTGCATCACCATCATGCTCTTGTACTTTGTAATTTTTAATTTAACTCTATTATGGTCAAAGAATATACTTGGGATGATTTGAATCCTTTCAAAATATTATTGAAATTTGTAATGCTGATTCTGGTCCATTTTGGTGTTATATGTGTGCTTGAAAAGAATGTATATTCTACTGTTGTCCCAGGAGTTCTGAAAATACCAAAGAGCACAAATTAGGGTTTTTCTTTTTTTTTCCTTTAGAGAGATGAAGTCTCACTGTGTTGCTGGTGTTGACCTTGAACTCCTGGGCTCAAGAGATCCTCCTGCACAGCTAGAACTATAGGCACAAGCCACTGTGGCAGGCTGATAGTGTTGTTTAAGCATTCTTTATTCTTTCTAAATTTCTACCAACTGTTCAGCCAGTTATTTAGAGAATGTTATTGAAATCTCCAACTATTCTGGAGTTTTTTATTTCTCTCTTCAGTTCTATGAGCTCTTGCTTCACATTTGCAAGATCCATTATTACACTTAGGGCAATTGATCCTTGTATCATCCTGAATAACTTTTTTATTTCTTGATATTATTCTTTCTTTGAAACCTGTCTTGTTCAATATTAATATAGCCACTCCAATCACTTTCTTTTGATTAGTATTAGCATAATATAACTTTTCCATTTTTAAGCCTATGTGAATCTTCATATTTAATGCACATTCTTATAGTTAATGTATAGTTGGATTTTAGCTTTTACCAGAATTGACAATTTCTGAATTTAATGAGGGTAAATTTAGACCATTTTTGTATAATGTGATTTTTTTTTTTGTATTCTAGGGTTCAGGTTTATCATCTTGGTATTTATTTTCTATTCATCTTATTGTTTTATGCTCCCTTCTTCCTTTATTCAGCCTTTATGTTTTGATGATTTGAATTTTAAATTCCATTTTATCTCTGTTAGTAGCTGTAATTCTTTTAAAAATTATAATGATTGTTTTATCATGTATAACATGTGTCTGTTAGTTTCCTAAGGCTATTGTAAGAAAGTATGAAAACAACAAATATTTTTTCTCACTATTTGGGAATCTAGAAGTCTGAAATCACTGTATTGGCAAGATTGATTTCTAAGGAAGGCCTTGAAGGAGAATCTGTTTTTTGCCTCTCTCCTAGCATCTAGAGATTGCTGGCAATCCCTGGTGTCTCTTGGTTTGTTAAAAGCATCATTTCAGTCTCAGCTTCTGTATTCACAGTATTTCCCTGTGTCTTTGATGTGACCATCTTCCCTTTGTGTGTGTCTGTGTGCCCAAACTTCCCTTTTCTTATAGGACAGCAATTATTAGATGAAGGTCCATTGTAATCTGATCTACTTCATCTTAACTTGATTATACCTACAAAGACCTGTTTCCAAATAAGGACATATTCATAGGTATTTGAATTATGACCTAAACATTTGAGGAAGCACAATTCTACCCACAACATCTTTAGCTTCTCATAACCTACCTTCAAGTAATATTATGCCACTTTATATATAGTGTAAAAATCTTACTTTACACTTTCATTTCTTCCTTCCTCATCTGTGTTATTGTCATACATTTACTTCTACAAATGTTATAAACCAGGTAATAAATAATTATTATTTTTCAATAGTCACTTTTTTTTTTTTTGGTACCGAACCCAGGGGTGCTTTACCACCATCCAATAACATATTCATTCATCCTGTAATAGGTACTTAGGTTAATTCCACTTTTTGATATAAATAGTAGGAATGCAGGGCTGGAGCTGTGGCTCAGGGATAGAGCACTTGCTTGGCATGTGTGAGGCCCTGGGTTCAATCCTCAGCACCCATATAAATAAATAAAATAAAAGATCCACTGAGGACTAAAAAATATCTTTAAAAAAATAAATAGTAGGAATGGGAGTGCAGATATCATTTAGACATACTACTTTCATTTCCTTTAGACATAAACCCAATGGTAGAATTGTTGGATCCTATGATATTTCTATTTCTGTCCCCCACTCCTTGGGTGGAATCTCCAAACTTTTCCATAATGGCTGTACTAATTTATATGCCCACCATTAGTGTGAGAGTTCTCCTTTCTCTACATCCTCACAAGTATTTATTTTTTTTTGTCTTTTTGATAATAGTAATTTTTAAATATTTTTCAGTTGTAGGTGGACACAATACCTTTATTTTACTTTTCATTTGGTGCTGAGGATTGAACCCAGTGCCTCACACATGCTAGGTGAGCACTCTACCCCTGAACCATAACCCCAGCCTCTGATAATAGCCATTTTTGCCTGGGGTGAAATGACATATCATTGTGGTTTTGATTTATATTTTCCAGATAATTAGTGATATTGAACATTTAAAAATATATTTCCTGGTCATTGTATGCCTTCTTTTGAGAAATGTCTATTCCAATCATTTATCAATTTTAATTTTTTGAAAGGTCAAGTGTTTTATTTTTAAAATTTTTAAAATTCTAATTTGTTATTATGACAGCAGAATGTATTAGAATTCATAGTACACATATAGAACACAACTTTTCTTATCTATGGTTGCACACAGAATAGAGTCACACCATTTGTGTCTTCATACATGTACTAAGGATAATTATGTCCATCTCATTCCACTGACCTTCCTACCCTCATACCCCCTCCCTTCCCCTCCCTCACCTTTGGTCTATCTAGAGTTTGTCTAATCATCCCTTGCCCCCAACCCCAATCAGCCCCATTATGAATCAGCATCCATATATCAGAAAAAACATTCATCATTTTTTTTTCTGGGATTGGCTAACTTCACTAAGCTTTATCTTCTCCAACTCCATCCATTTACCTGTAAATGCCATGATTTTATTCTCTTTCAATACTAAATAGTATTCATTGTGTATATATACCACATTTTCTTTATCCATTCACCTACTTTAGGACATCTAGGGTGGTTCCACAGTTTAGCTATTGTGAATTGTGCTGCTATAAACATTGATGTGGATGTGGCCCTGTAGTATGCTTTTTTTAAATCCTTTGGGTATAGACCTAGCAGTGGGATGGCTGGGTCAAATGGTGGTTCCATTCCTAATTTTCCAAGGAATCTCCATAGTGCTTTCCAAATTGGCTGCACCAATTTGCAGTCCCACTAGCAATATCTATTTTTTTAATATAAACTCAAAATTTATTACAGAAATTAAAGAGGATAATGTGAATATATAAAAAGAATTACTAAAGATCATAATTGATATTATGATCATAATTGATACTTGATATTGAAAACTTTCCAGTCATATATTTTAACAACTTACTGTTGAAGATAATTAGTCTCCTTTTTACAATATGGATCAATAAGACCAAC